CCGCGGCGTCGTCGCCGCCTGCCATGCCGCGCAACTTGGAGAAGGTGAGCGCGCGGATCTCTTGCACGCCCAGCACCACGTCGTAGCCGCGTTCCAAGGTCTGCTTGATCTCGGCGCCCATGAGCGAGTCCATGCCTAGCTCGGCCAGGTTGGCGGAGTCCGACACCTTGCTAGGATCCTTGATGCCGAGGATGTTGGCGACGGCGTGCAGCAAGTCCTGCTGCGGCGCGGCGGCGGCGCGGCGCTTGTCCGCCAGCACCATGGACGCCGCCACGGCGTGCGGCAGCGCCAGCAGCGCGCCCAGCGCCTCCATGCAGGACGCGATACGCTGCGGCACGGTGCCGCCCACCACGGCGTCGTCGCCGCCCATGGTGTCCACGATGAGCCCCACCTCGCCTGCAAGCACGCGCGTTGTAGCGGCGGCCGGGCCCCCGGGGCGGACGGGGCCCGACGCCGTACTCAGGCCCCTTTTTCCCACGGGGCACTATGGGCACGTGCACAGGGCCCCGCAATCGAATGGGGCCCCCTAGTCAGATGCCATATCTGGCAAGGATCCAAATAATTTTCTAAAATCTATCACGAACAACATTTAAAAGAATACTTAAATAATGAGTGAAAATGAAGCACCTAGCAGTGTACAGGAAGTATATATATAATCTATTAAACTGTCAAACACCAAGCGGTCACCGGTGACCGCAACCTATTGTTCTATAATTGTGTCTACAAAACCGGTACTCGACGAGTTAAAGCAAAACAAAATTGAAGACACATTTCCCAATGTAGAAATTGCATTGAGAATATTTTTAAGCATGATGGTAACTAACTGTAGTGGAGAACGCTCCTTCTAAAAATTAATTAAGAAGTACAATGCTTGAAGAGAAATTACCTAGTCCATAGAATGTGATATATTCGATACTATAGATTTTGAAAGAAGGGTACCTTTGCAATCAACATAGAATTAATCTAAGAATTTTATGCTAAGTGAGTTACTTTTGTCGATTATTTTTTATATTTCTTATTTTTTTTATAGTTAGTAGGTAACTAAATAAAAATAAATTTGGAACCTTGTTTGTCTAATTTCTTTTTCTATTCTTCTATGTATTATAACTAAATTGTGTTTTCTTAAGGTCATGGGGGCCCATGATCCTAATGTGCCCAGGGCCTCAAATAGTTTAAAGACGGCCCTGGCCGTACTCACCGATGGCGCCCCACTGCACGGCCAGGCCGGGCAGGCCGTCGGCCTGGCGCTGCTCCATGATGCGCTCCATGGCGGAGTTGGCGAGTCCGTAGTTGCTCTGGCCGGGGTTGCCGCGGCCGCAGGATACGGACGAGAACACCACGAAGTACTCCAGCTCCGGCGCCAGCTCACGCGTTGCCGCGTCCAATGCCTTAGTCGCTGTTTGCAAATTATTAATTATTAAAAAAGTAACTAGAGGTTTGCCCGGGCCTTGGCTGGGTACGATTTGTCGATGTTCGTATATTTTTTTTCATATTTTCTTTAAGATTTCCTCACGTTATTTCTCTTCATAAAAATATATACCGGAATGCTAAATATGTAACGGGAAGGTGGTAAAGCTCACCATCGATCTTGGGTTTGGCGACGGCCTGGAAGTCTGCGGGCGTCTGCTTGTCGATGAAGGCGTCCCTCAGCACGGCGGCCAGGTTGAAGACGCCGCCCACGGGGCCCAGCGCCGCCGCCTCCTGCAGCAGCGCGCGCGCGCCGGCCGGCGTGCTGGCGTCGGCCGTGCTGACGGCGACGGACACGCCGGCGGCCCGCCAGCGCCGCACGCAGGCCGCCTGGTAGCCCGTGCGCAGCCCGCCGCGCGAGTTCAGCACGAGCCGCGTGGCGCCGCGCCGCACCATCCACTGCGCCAGCTCCAGGCCGAAGCCGCCGGTGCCGCCGACGAGCACGTAGGAGCGCGCGGGGTGCATGTAGGTGCGCGGCAGGGCCCCCAGGAGCTTGCTGGCCGGCCGGGCCCCCGCCGCCTCCTCGTCGCGCACGCGCAGTACCACCTTGCCGATGTGCTTGCCGGTGGCCATGTACCTGCGGGCGCGTCATCGATATATGCTCGCCGGGGAACGACAGTATATGTCAAGGAATTGAGTATGTGTGGCGAGCAGTACAATGGGTGCGCAGTACGTACCGGAAGGCCTGCTCCAGCTGGTGGTCGGAGAAGACGGTGGCGGGCAGCGGCTGCACGGCGCCGGACGCGATGCCGTCGGTGACGCAGCGCACCACGGCCGCCTTGTCACTGTCCGCGCTGTCCGCGTCGAACAGCGCGTCCAGCAGGATGCCGTGGAACGTCGTGTTCTTCAGGAAAATGGACATACCCTGCGCGGAAACCGAACGTCAGCTCTCTGTCGCACTCGTCGCATGAGTCGTTGCGTCCCCTCCCCACTCACCAGCGCCGTGTCGTTGGACAGGTCCAGCTTGCCGATCTCGAGGAAGCGGCCGCCCTCGGCCAGGCAGCGCACGGACGCGTGCAGCTTGTCGGCGGCCAGAGAGTTCAGCACTAGGTCCACCCCGCGCCCGGCCGTGCGCCGCTTCACGAGCTGCTCGAAGGACGTGTCGCGCGAGTTGCCGATGTTCTCCGCCGGCAGCGTCGGGAAGCGCTGGCGCAGGAAGGCGCGCTTGTCCGGCGTGCCCACCGTCGTGAAGACGCGGCAGCCCGCGTGCAGCGCGATGGCCAGCGCCGCCTGCCCCACGCCGCCCGTGCCCGCGTGCACCAGCACGGACTCCCCGCGCCGCATGCGCCCGCGCACCACCAGCGCGTAGTACGCGGTGGCGTACGCCACGGGCACGGTGGAGGCCTGCTCCAGCGTCCAGTCGCGCGGCACTTCCCACAGGAAGCCGCGGTCCGCCAGCACGGTGCTGGCCAGGCCGCAGGCGGCCACCATGCCCATGACGCGCCGCCCGTCCGACGAGCGCCCGCTGAACTCCAGGCCCAGGATGCACTCCTGGCCCGCCAGGTTGCCGGGCAGCGCGTCCGGCGGCAGCTTGCCCGTGGCCAGCATGATGTCGCGGAAGTTGAGCGGCGCGCAGTACACGCGGCACAGCTCCGTGCGGGCCGGCAGCGGCGTCGCCGCCGCGTACCGCAGCGGGGACTCGATCCAGCGCAGCGACGACAGGTCGCCGCGCGTCAGCGTGTTCACGTACGCGTGCTCCACCTGCGCCAGACACTCGTCAGCCCGGGCCCCGCGCCCGCAGGACCACGGCCTGTACAGTACGTACCTGCAGCTGCGCCTCGGCCGCGGCCAGCTCCAGGTGGCGGTAGGAGCCCCAGACGCCGGCGCGCAGCACGTTGAAGGCCAGGTCG